CTGCTCACTATATTGCAGACTATTTTATCTAAGCACCATCTCAAGAGGAGGCTTTTCTTTGGGACTGCCCTACTCTGTGGATCTGACAATAAAGGAGCAATCACATGTCAGGGAGTCTAGGACTATCCTGCCCCTAAGTGTCATTGTGAGAAGCAGTGACCATAATGTGTAGATTACACACAGACTCATGAAGAAGTTTAAGCAAGAAGGTGCTTGGATTTTGTAGACACTAGTGTTTACAGGCCCTGCCTTTCGTAGTAGGGCACACTACAGAAGGAGAACGCCCTCTCATCTGTGGATTATTGAAGAAACTAAAAGCTATGATCTCATGGCCTGCTAATTTCTCAGCCTCTAGAATTGACTTTCTGCCATTTGGGACTGAGAACAGTGAGCTCAGGTACACAGATAGTACCTAGCCAGGTCACACTCACGGGGTAGCTTAATATTGGATTGTATGAAAGCATTGACATCGGGAAGCAGAGCTCTGGGTACTAGTGGGTCTTCCACTCCAAGGCATATCTCAGTGTTGTGATTGCTCTTGCCACTCTCTGACTCATTGGAGCAGAATCCTCACAGTTAAGGTATATATGACATATACCTTACCACATATTCCTGGATTTCAATATAAGGAAACATGGGAAAACTTATCAAATTCTTTGCCTTTTTTACTTTTATACCTTTGCCGTATTTTATATTGTTTTAATTTAATTTTAATTATATTTTATTTGTATTCTTTTTTTACAATTATCCATCCATACAATTTTTATGTACTTTTTATTTTAAATTAGATATTTTTATCACTTGCTCTATTCTCTTATGTTTTTCCTTTCTTTTAATTTAATTATTTCCCCAAAATTTGCCATATCCTATATTTAATTCATTTATGTATATTAATTTTACCATTCTGTACGTTTTTTAGTTCATAGAATGTCCTATGTTGTTTTTAAACACTATTGGTTGTATAGTTATTTGTGGTTGATTATTATTTTTAATTGTTTTAATTGAATCCCTATGTATTGTTTATTTTGGCATTGTTATAGAAGATTATTTTTTCATCTCTAATAAATACTTTGGATTGATCTCTCAAGAGAAGTTCCTTCACCAAGAAAACCCCATATAAAACTGGAATATATAATGCAGCCAAACAAATGAACAAATAACAATATAAACACACAAATCACAACACAGAAACACAAGGAAAATGAAGGAAATATAACTCCCCCAAATGTTCATAACTTTTCAAAAATGAATCAAATGATACTGAAATGAATGATAAAGAACTAAAAACTCTGGTTTAAAAAAAATCACTAATGACTTATAAAAGGATGAAAATAAGTGAATGAAATAAAGCACTCAGTTCAAGAATTGGAGCAGAAATTGAACAACTTGTATGAACAATTCAAGAAGTTGGAAGAGAAATTCAAAAATGACAAAGATTATCTGAAAGAAAAGAAAAAAATTTTAGAAAGAAACAAAAGCTCAATAAATCAAATACAACATTAAATAGAAAGCATCATCAGTAGACTAGAGCAAGTTGTAGAAGCAATGTTAGGGACTGGAGACAAGATGAGGAATTTATTACCCCTATACAGCAATAATCAATTGTGACCCAAATTTTCAAGATTTCTTGGGGAAAATTAGGAGCCCAATCTTACAAATCTTTCTTGAAGAAGAGGGATCTTAGACACAGACTAAAGGCATAGAGAATCTATTCCATAAATTAATAGCAGAATATTTCCTAAATCTAGTAAAATTAACTGACGTCTAAGTACCAGATGTATCTAGAACTCAAAATGGGCATAAACAGGATATAAAAAAGTCACTGCATATTAAGCATGGGAAAAAGAAAGTATACTGAAAACTGCTGGAAAGAAATCTCATGTTACTTAAAAATTTAAACTTCAGGAATAAGTTGACCTCCCAGGAGAGACCTGAACGTTCATGAGAACAAGGAATTATTCATTTGAAGCCATGCAAGTAAATAATTTTAAAACAAAATTATCCAATTCAGAAAAATTACCTCTCAAAATGGAAGAAGAGTAAAAAATATCCGTGGTAAGCATGAACTAAAGCAGTTCTTATGACCATCAAAGCAGCATTGTATAACAGACTGAAAGAATACCACATAAAGATGAGGAATAGAGATAACACTAGCATGACACTTCAGAAAAAAATAAATCTCAATGGAAACAAGTGAAAACCAGGAAAGAATGAAATGTTATTAAATCACTAACCAGTAAATCATTAAGGTAAATACCTTTCAATAATCATAGTAAATGTAAATGGTCTTAACTGTACAAAAAAGTGGTATTATATAAAATGGAATTTTTTTCAGCCACAAAGAAGAATGAAATATTGTCATTTGCAGGTAAACGGATGGAGCTGGAGAACATCATCTTAAGTGAAGTTAGCTAAGTTCAGATGTAGACTATAGACCAAATATCAGCATAAGCAATATTATGAAAAACAGTTCACACTAAAGGGAAGTCACATACAAGAGAGGGAGGGTAAAAGAAGGACGTTAAGAAGGGAAATGGTTGATGCAGTTCCTAAACAAGAATGAATACAGAAATTTTAAATCTGTTGAAATCACCAAAAGGAGGAAAAGGTAGAAAGGAGAAAAATAGAGGAAAGGAGCCAATTCATGTGATAATGCATATTTACATGGGAGTGTCACAGGGAAACACCCTATGAACGTATCTTAAACAAACAAAAAGGTCATATTTTTTCCTTTTACCAAACTGGGGAACAGGAGAGTACAACAGATTCTTTCTGGGAGGTTGGTACTAGTAAGAGGTGGGAGATGTGAAGAAAGTATAGAAGGGTGAATATGGTGCAAATACTGTGTACACAATTATGTAAATGAAAAAAGTGATACCTGTTGAAACCATTCCAGGAATGGGAGAGAGGGAATAAAGGAGAATGATGGATATATCAATTATGATACATTTGATATACTGTAGAACTTTTTTAAATGTCACATTGTACTCCTAGCACAACAACAAAAAAGTAAAAGAAAAAAAAACTCAGTGTTCGAAAGCATTAAAAATTAAGATCCAACTGTTTTCAATTTGCAAAAATCTGACAGCACTGACAAAGACACACAGAATGAAAAAGAAAAATGACAATTGATATTTAATAATATTTAGGTAATCACGCTCTCCCAAAATTGGTCAGAAGAAATAAAGACAGTCACTAGATGCTAATGAAGGGAACAATCAAGAAGCTATAACAAAAAGTGTAATAGAGTAATAGAGAGGGTGAATTTGTTCAAAGTAAATTATATTCATGTGTGGAAATACCACAATAAAATCTCTTTTACGATTAATGCACACTAATAAAATAGAAAAAGATGTAAGAATTGTAAATATTCATTCATCACACAATGATGCACCCAATATAATGTAACAAAAAATATTTAACATGAAGGGAAAGATAAGCCTAGGTAAAATACCTCACTCTCACCAATATATACATCATCTAGACAAAAAATCAGCAAAGGTAATTAAGAGTAAACCAATCTGTAGACCAAATGTATTTAATAAACATTTCTAGAATATTCATCTAATAGCTGCATAAAATGCTTTATTCTAAGTAACTGATGGAATTTTCTTCAATGAAACATGTTTTAAGCTATAAAGCAAACCAAAAAAAGTAAATATTGAAATAAAATTCACTGTATCTTATCACATCATAATCAAATAAAAGTAGAAATCAAGAACAGAAGAAACTACACAAACATATAGGGGTTTGACAAGACACTTTTTGCTGATAATTAAATTATTGAAGAAATAAAGAGGACATTAAAATTTGTCAAAAATCAGAGGAAAATGTATGTAAATCTTACCAGAACCTTTGTGAAAGAGTTTTAAGGCAGTTCTAAGGGGAAATTCATTGGTACAAATGTTTACATTTAAAAAATTACAGATAATCAAGTAAATAATAAAACAATGTACCTTAAAATCTAACAAACATGAAAAGATAACACAGAATTAGTAGAAGGAAAGAAAAGCAAAGATCAACACTAAAATCTGTGAAATATAGGCAAGATGAAAAACACAAAGAATCAATGAAACAAAGAAGTGGTTCTTTGAGATGATAAAGAAAACTCATAAACTCTGTGGAAAGTCTAATGAACAGAAGCACTAAGAAGGACTGAGAGTATGGCTAAAAGCAGTAGAGCGTCTGCCTTGCAAACCTGAAGCCCCACGTTCCATCTCCCCTCAATCCCACCAAAAAAAGCAAAGAAACACTAAGAAGTCTCAAATTAATAAAATTGTAGAAAGAAGGAGACATTACATAAGATATTGCTGAAATCCAGTGGGTCACTAGGAAATATTTTTAAAGTTATACTCTATTACATTGGAAATTCTAGAAAAATTTAAAAATCCAGTAAATAAATGAGTGAAAGAACTATACTGATAGTTCTCAAAAGAAGCACAAATAGCAAAAATACAAGAAAAAATGTGCAATCTTTTTAGCAATCATGGAAATGCAAATCAAACTACATTATGATTTCAGGACATCTCAATAAGAAAGACAAATCTGAAGATAAGAAAAACTAAAAAATACTTGTGTGGGTATAGGGAAAAGAAATAGTTATTTATTGCTGGTGGGAATAGTTAATTTCATTGCAGCCACTATGAAAATCACTATGACAATTACTTAAAAAGCTAAAAATTGGGTTAGTGGTAAAGTACTTGCCTAGCAAGTACAAGGCCCAAAATTCAACCCTCAGAACTGGGAAAAAAATGGTAAAAATGGAGCTCCATATTATATAGCTATTGCATTCCTGGGTGAAAGTAATAAAAATGTCAAAGAAATTTAAAAAATATTTATCACAATGTTTATCACAGTCCTGTTTATAATAGCCACATTGTGGAATGAGATTAGTTATCAGAGAACAAAGATATAGTATATATAAACACTGGTGTATTATTTATAAATAAGGAATAACAAAACCCAAAGAGTGAATATAACAGGTTTATATGCACATGTATTTATAAATTTATGCATATATCATAATGAATGCACCAAAAATTGTTTAAAAAGACAGGGGAGGAGGGAAGAACGTTAGGAAAGAGTAGTATAGATGGATGAATTTGATCAAAGTATTTTATGTACATTGTAAATAACACAATGATATCTGTGCAATGAAATTATAATAAAAATTAAATTAAAAATAAAACTAAAAAAACATGTTATTTGTAAAAAATGGCTAGATCTGGAGAGTCTCACATTAAGTAAAATAAGTCAGATTTAGAATGACAAATATCATGCTTTGTCTCATGTGGGGATTACAGATTATTTTAAAATGACATGAAGGTGGTCCAAGGTGGGCTGTTTGAGAAGGGGAAGGAGACAAGAAGAAGAGGGAGGAGGACAATAGGAAAGGTTAAAGAAGAATAAATATGATAAAAAATATATTCACTCTATATGAAAATGTCATAAAAGACAATTATTTTGTATGACTAATACACATCATTTCCAAAGAAAGCTTTATACAAACACTAAGAAGTGGTTCAAAACAATAAGAAAAAACCATGAGACTTCAATGGTATGATTCTTAGAAAATAATAAAACTGACACTATTTATATATAATTCTAGAAATTTAGTTGCCACTTCAAATACTTAAATTTTCAACTTTCACATTTTTCAAATGATTTTCATATTTTAAGCTCTATAACTGAAACTTTTCTCTTAACTTTATTGAGATACAATTAGACTTCTTGGTTTGACCACTTGCCTGCTTCATCTAGCTCTTTCCCATAGTAAGAGCACTAAGGAAATGCTCTTGTCTCATTTCCTACTCTCTACTATAAAGTTTGCTAAGATAAAGTAAGGCATTGCCTTCCCACAACTTCAAGTAGCTCACAGTCTTTTGAAAAGTTCAGGAAGACCAGGTTATTATGTCTCATCTGTGTCTTTTGGCATTCGTGAAGCAGCTTCTTGGAGAATGGGTGAAATAATGCTACCTGTCACCGAGAATACTCAAGATGGTTATGTAAAGTGTTAAGTACAGTTTCTGGTGAAAAGTGTACACTAGGTAATGGTTACCTGGAGGGAGTACTCCACAAATGCTATTAAGATAAGGCATTATTATATAGAAATTCCAAATTTCCTTTACAATTATATGAGTCTTATAAATTCAAATAATATTTTCTTTTTGTTTGTGGTACTGGGGATTGAGCTCAAGGCCTGTGTTCACTATGGAAGTGCTCTGTCAGTTGAGCTGCAATCCCAATCCTTTTTACTTGAAAGTAGTGGGAAAAGTGTGACCTTACAGCGCATACTACTGAAATCCAGTGGCTTGCTAGGAAGTATTTTGTAAAATTATATGCTATTAAGTTAAAAATTTTGGAGGAAATGAAAATTTTAAAGAAATTAAAGATCAAAGAGCAAATAATACAATTACCAAATGAGTGAAAGAACTGAACAGACACTTCTCGAAAGACATACTAATGGCCAATAAATACATGAAATTTTGAATATATATATATACATATATGCATATATTAAGATAAGTATAAAATTCCACAAAATCAGTCCCAAGTCAAGAAAAAAAAAGGTATTAATTATCAGAATCTGAGAATCCCTATTGGATTGTTTCTAATCTCTGTTCCTCTCCACACCAGGAATAATCACTAAATCCTACTGAATAAGCCTTCCAGCTTGTTGTCTTTTTTAATTTTGAATGATAGGGTACATGCTATTCGTATCATGTGTTATTCAGCATTTTGTGAAATTCATCAATATTATTTCATTTGGAGGCTAAAATTTTAAGAGGATTTCAGTTAGATGTGTTTAAGAAGGATATGCTAATTATCCTGATGTGAATTTTACACATTGTTTGTAATTATACAATATGTATAAAATTACCTTTCTGTACCATAGAAATATTTACAATTGTTATGTGTTAATTAAAAAGTATGTTTTTAAAATTAACAAATGAAAATCCTAATCTCAGTATGGAAGCTTTGGAAAGATGCCTAGTCATAATAGCATGGTCAAGAGAGGGCTTGGTTGTATCATGGTGGTAGAAATGCTTAAAATGGATAAGGTCTTGGGTTCAATCTCACCAACATACACAATAAAAAGAAGTGGAGGGAGTATGTGATCCTTCCAGAAAACGATGGAGCTGAGTCAGCATTTTTGGTCTGCCTCTCCATTGACAAGGGTGGGTAAGAGAATTGCTTTAATAGTTATTGTAAACCTTCAGACAAATTGACAGGATTACAAAAACATACAATGTTTTATGAAGTATTAATATTAAGGGTATTAGGCTATTCAAGACAGAGAGAACAGTTGCTGAGACAAGTTCACCAGCATTAATCAAGTGAATATTGTACAAATTGAATTAATAAGAAAAAGGTCTCGTTGTTAGAGGCATAGTGTAGTACTTAAGAATATTAACTGCAATCATTGCTGCTGATATTATTGTTAGTAGAAACAATGTAGTTGATAGCAAAGCAGTGGGAAGTAGTCTTGGTACATTGTTGTTAAAAAAAATATTCAGCTTACTACAGAATGTTCCCTTTTATGGAAATCCCAGTTCACAAGTTGCTATTTATCATTAACACTCACTAAATATTCTGGAAACATAAATAGATGTCCATTTGGAATTTTTAAAAACTGAAGGATGAGCATCTTAACAACGTTTTTGTTTTGCAAATTTGAACAGTGTCTTAATGTACACTGAAGCAGCATGCCCTGCATTCATAGAAAGTTGATGGGCTCAAGCTGGACATATTTCTAAGGAGGATGGCTATGTAAAATTAAATGGTGCTGCTTTTTTATTCCTTGAAACTGGGTACCAATGAGGAGTTGCAGGCTAAGTGCTGTACTCCCGCCACTTACAAAGAACAACAGAATTTGGGAAGGAACTTTTCTCATTTACTTTATTTAGAATCTTCTATTTGGTGGTGCTCTGAGAAACAACCTACCCTTTATTTCTTACACTTCAAAAGATGAAAGTGCACTTCTCATAATACAGTCTCACTCTCATTGCTGTTCTATCACTATCAGTCAAGTATTTCTACAACTCATTGATTATTAATACATTCTATGAAAAACATATCCCATCTCCTTCCTTTCTTCAAAAGATCACCTCCAAATCCAGCTCAGATACAACAAAGTAAAATCAGAATCTTGCAAAATTCCATAGCATAAGCAAAACTAATATCCTCACCAACTCTGTCCCCTCTGCACTTCAGGATTCTGGGATGCTGATTCTTGAATGATACTCAGAGGTCAGAAAGGCCTGGTGTGTTCTCTAAATGTCTGTCAATTGTTATGACAAATAAAGGAATAAGAAGCATTCAAAATGAGGCCTCAGGAGGCAGATATACAAACACAAAAATATCAAAAGTGTCTCAACCCCTTCATTGCCAGTTCTGCACACTAGGGAACAAAACACAGATACTGATGAGTTGGCTATTCTCCAGGAAGACCTAAAATACTTTCCAAGTCTGTATCTCCAATGTTAGCGCACCAGCAAAACCCAAAGGACTTTTAAAGCACAGATCTTTGGATGACACCCAACAGATTCATATGTAGTAGGTCTGAGGTGGAATTTTAAATTAGACTTCCCACAAGTTCTCAAGTTTGCTGATTCTGCAAATGAGTGGGATACACATTGAGAGCAATGGTTATAAGAAATTCCTAGAGCATGGTGCAAAATCAACAATATCTGAATTTGAATTCTACAACACATCATGAGATTGTGCCCAGGGGATCTAGTCTTTAAGATAGTCCAACATCCTTTCATTATAAAAAGTTCTGAAGTAATTAGAAATAGAAAGAATGTACCTAAACATATTAGAGGTTCTATTTGATAAGTCTATAGCCAATATCTTACTAAATGGAGAAAAATTGAAGCAATTTCCTCTTAAGTAGGGAATGAGACAAAACTGTCTATTCTCCCCCCAACAGAGCAATAAGACCAGAAGAAGAAACAAAAGGGATTCAGGTAGTATAGTAGAAAGTTAAATTATACACAAATGAGCATCTTTTCTATATACCAATAATGAACAACTGAAAAAAAATCAGGAAAATGGTTTTATTCACAATAGCGTCAAAATACCTAAGAATAAATTAAATGAAGTAAGTAATCTATTGCTATAATGAAAACTATAAATCATTGAAGGCAGAATTCAAAGAAGAAATGAAAAGATGGAAGGATTTTCTAGGCTTGTGGGTGAATAGAATCAAAATCATGAAAACCGGTATACTACACAAAACATTGTTCAATGTAATCCCCATCAAAATTCTGACGACATTCTTCACAGATATAGAAAAAGCATTCCTAATGCTCACACGGAAGCAAAAATGACCTGAAATAGACAAAGCAATCCTGGGCAAAAGGATCAATACTAGGGTATCACAATATCTGTCTTGAAAAATATACTACAGAGCCATAGTAACACAAACAGCAAAATACCAACACAATGTTCTTCATGTCTATTTTTATGCTACTACTATGCTGTTTTAATTGCTATGGCATTGATGTTTTTATTTGGTATTGCCTTGGTTATGTGAGGTCTTTTGTACTTTTATATGAACTTCAAGGTTGATTTTTTTCAATCTCTGTGATGAATGTCATTGGAATTTTGATGGAGATTACATTGAACATGTAAATAGCTCTTGGTAATACAGCTATTTTCACAATATTGATTCTTCCAATCCATGAACATAGGAGATCTTTCCATCTTCTGTAGTCTTTGATTTGTTTCCTCTGTGGTTTATAATTTTCTTTGTAGAGGTCTTTCACTTCCTTTGCTAAAGTAATCCCCAGGTATTTTATCTATTTTGAGGCTATGGTATATGGGGTTGTTTTCCTATATTCTTCTTCAGTCTGTTCATTGTTCATATATAGAAAGGCTACTGATTTGTGTAAATTGATTTTGTATCCTGCTTTTGCTTTAAGTGGGGCAGGGAGAAGGTCATGGGGAGTGGTGGGAGAGATCTAACCAATATACAATGTAAGACTACTCAGAATTGTCCCAATTAATCACCTCTGTTGAATGAATACATGTTAATACAAATGAAAACAAAGTTAAAAAATAGAATGGCTGTGAGTCTTCAGAAAATTTTAGAATGTATTGATTCCTTTCAGTGGGGAATAAGACTATTATTTAGTATGTTACAAAAAGTTCAACAGTCAGAAGCAATTGTGAATGCTGACAGGAGAGTTCAGAATATATAACAATGTTAAAATGAAACACTGTGGAATGCATAAGGAGTTTGCCATATCTTCTTAGTCATGACTGAACATCAAAATCACCTCCTGGCTTTATTCAAACAAAAGTATATGGGGGTTACCTAGAGACTTTCTTTCTTTCCTTCTTTCTTCTTTTCCTCTACTTCCCTCCCCTCACATTAACATTTCATCCTTTCCCCTCCTCTTTCCTCCATTTCCTTTCCTTTCAATTTCTTTTGTCTTCTTCTTTCACTATTTTTGACAGAATCTTGCTATGTTGCTCTGGCTAAAATCCTGGACCAAGAAATTAACCTAACTTAAGCCTACCAAGTAGCAGGGACTAGAGGTCTACACCATGACAATTCTTCTTGAAGGTTCAGTTTCCCCTTGGATTTTAATGATCTCATTTCTAGAATCTAAAAAAAGTGTGTAATGTGCAAGTTGAGTATAAAATAGTGGTTGCCATTGGTCTGGGAATGAAACCCGTGGAAGAGGTGGGGAAAAGTTTTCAACAGTTACTAAGTTAAAGTGAAAGAGAAGGAATCAACAATGCATTATATATTTCACACGACCTTAGCAATAAGGACATTGAATATCTCCACCACAAAAAACAATACATGTTGGAGGGAACTGACATGCTTACACTGATTTGAAATACAAATATTCATGTATTGAAACATCCCAAGGGGACCCAGAAATATGCACATTTATGAGAACCAAAAAGAATGAACTCCCTTGATAATGCTGATATTATAAGCAGGACAAAACAGGCATTTGGGTCCAAATTCAAAATGGAAATGGAACCCCTTCTCCCAAAGCTCGCAGATGTTGAGTAAAAGTTATTAAACAAAAAGGGCTGCCCATTTGGGCTACTGATCTGGAAACAACATGCTGAGGAGTTGATTTTAAGTGTCAATTTAGAAATTTACCTTTCCTCCATGCTGAAGATAGGGCACAGGGCCCCCTGCATGCTAGTCAAGTGCTTAACACTGCAATAGATTACAGGCATTTCCTCCAGATCTTACCTGTCATTTGTGATTTCCCAGAATTGCTACATAGATAATCATATGGGCAATTTCAAGAAATTAAAATAATAAGCACAGCATGTTTTGTTACCTCAATGTAACTAAGTTAAAACAAATTTCAAAACTAAGGGATGAAATTCTTATGATTGGATGTTGAGAAATCAACTTTTATTTAATACCTGAATTAGAAAAGAAATCTCAATGGACTTTTCAAATAATGTGTTTATAGTATGACAAAAGTATAAATAAGAGTAAAATAAAAGTAACTCAAAGGAAAGAGAGTTAATTTGGAACTGAATTAATCATAAAATAATAAAGGAAAAAGAAAAAGTCCCCTAAAATTTTATTGACACGGGAATGCACACCCAAGAACTGTATGTCTTTCATTTTGCTAGTACTCAGTACAGACAGATTTTTGGTATAAAACATACTTTGCATTTTCTCATATATCCCAGTATAAGACAGATTCTCTATTTCACTAATAAGTGTACAATATTACTCTCCCCATTTTATAGTTGTGGAAACTGGACTCAATGAGTGAAGTTGGTTGGTCACTGACTTGGAGTAAAAATAGGAAAGACAGGACTCAATACAAAAGTAAATGTCATGAAAGACCCTAATTAAATACTTGCTAGAAAAATTCAATAAAGTAATTAGTTTCCTTTGACGCATTCTAGAATTCCATACTGAAGACAATTGACAGAATTGCTAAAATGAAAATTTTCCAAATGTGAATTTTCTCAAGGTTCCCTTCAAATCTTTGTTCCTTAGGCTATAGATGAAGGGGTTCATCATGGGAGTGACCATGATGTACATCACTGAGGCCACTTCAGTCTTCCTGGGAGAATCAGTAATTGCAGAACTAAGGTAAACCCCAATACAGGTCCCATAGAACAAAGAAACTACAGATAGGTGGGACCCACAAGTAGAAAAAGCTTTATACTTTCCATCAACTGATGGGATTTTCAGGATGGAGGAGACAATTTGAGTGTAAGAGAAAATTATGCCAGAAAAAGGACCAATACCCAAGAAGGCAGTTACTAAGTATAACAAGATGTTATTGATAAGAGTGTCAGAACAAGCCAGTTTGAGAATCTGAGTAATTTCGCAGAAGAAGTGAGGAATTTTCAGGTCAGTACAGAAAGATAAGCCTAACAACGTTAGAGTGTGCAGCAGTCCATCCACAATGCTGATGCATATGGAGACTGCAACCAGCAAAACACAGAGGCCAGGGTTCATGATGACTGTGTAATACAAGGGGCGGCAGATGGCCACATAGCGGTCATAGGCCATTGCAGTCAGAAGTAAATCATCCATACTTAGAAAAAACAAGTTAAAATACACCTGAGTAAGGCAGCCTGCATATGTAATGGCCTTGTTTTCTGTCTGGATGTTCACCAGCATCTTAGGGACTATAGTGGAGGCACAACACATATCAACAAAGGACAGATTGGAGAGGAAGAAGTACATGGGGGTGTGGAGTTTTGAGTCAGAGCTGACTGCTAGGATGATGAGCAGGTTCCCAAGCATGGTGACCAGGTACATTGTCAGCAACAGCCCAAAGAGGATGGGCTGCAATACTGGATCCTCTGAGAGTCCCAGGAGAAAATATTCTATTACATCTGTTTTGTTTTCTGATTCCATGTTGTTCAGTAGTCTGCTGGAAGATAGTAATATAAGTGACAATGAATCAGGAACATAGACATTACTTGGTGGAAAGAAATCTTCTGTCAATGCCTTAAATTCTAGTAATATTTAAACATTTTCACCCTTCAAGTCATTTTCATTCCTTCCTGCAAAAAAGTAGTTCTCAGACTAATTTTGTGTATGGTGATACATAAAATATAATTTATGTGTTTTCTAAACAAAAATGGAAGTTTTGTGTTTTTTTTTATTGCTGAGTGTTGAACTCAGGGACTCATACTTGCTAGACAAGGACTCTACCACTTGAGATAAGCCTGTAATCATTTTGCTTATAGTTTGCTTTTCAGAGAGGGCCTGCTGCATTCTCCTGAGCTGGTCTTTTAATTTAATCCTCCTTCCTTCAGAACTAGAGTAGCTGAGATTACAGGCATGAAGCAGTACACTTGGCTTGTTTTTGAGATAGGATCTTTCTATCTTTTGCCCAAACTAGCCATGAACTCTCATCCTTTTATTTCCACATCCTCACATTTTGGATTACATTCATGCACCATTATGCCCAGTAATGCTATTTTTAAACAATAATCATTTATACTATTTTTAAATTCAGCATTAAATTGTATTTTTTCTTTACACAATCAAACCTGATTATGATATCGTATTCTCAGAGAATTATAACTGATTAACTTGATATTCTGAATCTCCCCATAATTACAAATCTGTGATTCTGCTCAAATTATAATCTCACATCCTCTACTGTCTTATTATGAGAAATGTTACCACTCATTAATTTATTCTAAATATGTTATATCTTAAAGTTGCATCAAGCTACTACATTGGATCCTATGTAATATAAATTAATTGTTCTAGCCACTAGAAGTGTTACATTTGGGCTGTTGCTTGTCATTAATTTTTCTTACAGTGAGTATATTTATTTTAGTTTGTTTTGCTAGAGATTAAACCCAGGGCCTTTTGTGTGCTGTCTGTCTGGAAATTAGACTATATATATGTAATAGTGCATATCTTTTGGCTAATTTTTTTCTTGGTAGCTGCTTTCTAGGAAAGCCCCTCATGGTGATGCAGTTGTCATTATTTCTCACCAACTCAACACTTAATGATGAATTGAATTCAATGCATTTTTACTGGGCAATGATATAAGTGAAGTTTCAAAAGTTCCTTGGGGAACAGAGCATTCCACCCAATAAACCAATACCTCACTAGGAAATTCAATTTCTCATCAACATTGGCCCCTGTAACATTTATATATGGGATTACAGAGTCCCATATAAAACTGATATTACAGTTCACGGTTGAGTAAGAAAATATGTTAAGAGCGAACAATTATTGTTTTTGCAATGTTTTTGTTTTGGAGACAAGGTCTCACTCACTATGTAGCATTAGCTGGTCAAGAAACCTTTAGACATCTGTCCCAGCTTCCCGAAGTTGGGATTATAGACATGCCCCCACACCGTCTTTAAAAAGCAGCAATAGTAAGAGCTGGTGATCAAATATACTGCTGATAAAAATGTCCCACTCCAGTTCAGATCGCAGTGTTGTCATTGCTTCTTCTACGCTCTGACTCATTTGGGGCACATTCCTAACAGCTAAAATAGAGTCCAGATATGACATCTACCTTCCCTCCCAAAAGGGATTGCATTAAATGACATGGAAAGACTTCTCCAACTCTTCATCTTTTTAACTTATATACTTTTTACTATATTTAATATTGTTTTCATTTATTCTAAATTATGTTTTTATTTTATTCCTATTTTATGTTTATCTATTTGTGTTTGCATAATTTATTTTCTTGATATCTTGTAATTTTTCTTTTGTTCAAATCTCTTTCACAGCAGGTCAAAATAATACTGAAAAACCCAAAGTCTTAAATTGTATGATGCACATTAAATAATAAAACTGGTGTCATTTATATATAAATCTCCAAAATTTCTATGCCAGTTTGAACATTTAATTTTTCCATTATTACATTGTTGAAAGCCATCTCATACTCAAGCTCCTTAAAAAGCAACTTTTCTCTTAGGTTTATTGAACTCTAGAGTTCTTTTTTTTCCTTCATTGTTGTGATGTGTGTTAGCACTTACAAAAGTTCTTACAGTATATCAAATATTATCATACATTCATTCACCTCCTCAATCATTGTCATTCATACCCCTCTCACTTGCTTCATCTATTCTTCTCATTGTCAGAGAACTGAGGAATTTATCTTTTGTAGTTTCCTATTAACCACTTTTATCTACATGGACAACACTGTAATGTGTGCCTGGACATAAGACATTATCTTCCCCACCACTTCAAGCAACTCACAGCATAATGGCAAGTTCAGGAAGACCAGGGTATTAGTGTTCCATCTGTATGTTTTGCCTTCTGTAAACCTGGTTCATGGAGAATGGACACAAAAATGTTACCTGTCGTAGAGAAGGGTAAAGATGATTATATAAAGTGATAAACAGAGTACCTGTTATAAAGTGAGCACCCAATAAATGTTACCTAGCAATTGCATTCACAGACATGCTGTTATTATAAAGGAGTATCAGATAAAAGACAGTTCCAAGTTTCCTTTCAAATAAGAGGAGTCTTACAAATTCAAGTAATATTTTCTAGAAATATTAAAATTTAGGGCCTTGTACTCAGCATACAAGTGATCTGCCACTTGAGCCACATCTCCAGTTCTTTACTTACAGTTTGTTCCTCATAAAAGGTTTGAACTAACTTTTTGGATGGCCATCACACCAGATCCTCCAATTTTCGCCTCCTGAGTAGCTGGAACCACACTTTTGTGCCATTATGCCCAGCCATAAGTAATATTTTTGATGTTAAAATTCACTTCAAGTCAAACTAATTGTAAGAATCTGGGAAAATCTTAGTCTATTTTCTAAATTTAAATTTGATATTTCCAAGAAAGGAATTATAATTTTTATTACACTTTTAAAATTTGTTTTTCCCTAAATTGTGTTATAATTATAAGGGCTATTTGTAATATTAAATACAAAATAAAATGTTGTAGTATAATACGTAACTATAATTTAGCAGTAACAATCACAAGAAAAATTCAAATCTTGATAAATATCAGAAATTAAAGTGCTATGTACTTATAGACCAGTATATATGCATAAACTATTTCTTATTAATAGCTCAGTTGTTGCATATTACTACATAAGTGTTGTGAAATAGTAATTTTACAAAAAAGAAGGGATCTAAATGTTTTTCAACACATATAAATGATGTATATGTTTAAGGTCCTAGACATGCTAATTACACTGATCTGACATTTACACATGGTGTACACAAATCTTATTTGTCAAATAAAATATCTAAAAATTAGGAAATAAATGTACTTTTATAAGGATAGGCACTTTGGAAAGGCAAATATTAATAGAAAGGAGTGGAAGGAGAACCCTGGAAGTACAATTTAGTAGTAGAGCATAGGCTTAAGATGCAGAGAGACCTGGGTTCAATCTTAGGACCATGATGCCATTGCTAGAGGCATCATAAAATCTCTAGAAATATTAGTTACAATCATTGTTCATATTATTGTTTCTAGATACAGTGCATATGGTAATATAACAATAAGAATTAGTCATGGTACATGATGCTTGAGAACATGATCACCTTCATACAAAATGCTCCCTGTCTATGGATTTACCAATACAAAGCTGCTATGTCTCATTAACACTCAACAAATACTCAGGAAACAAGATTAGATGTTATGTATTTGGAAATTTTGAAAAAATGATAGAGAGTATTAACAATCTTTTCTGCTTTACAACTTTCAAAGGGATTTTCCTGTGTGCTAAGGCAGTGTGCCCTGGATTCTAGCAAAGTTGGCTGAATGGAACAGGACACATTTCTCTGTGAAATGTGGCTGTGTGAAAATAAACTGAGATGCTTTGCTTTATTCCTTCACGCTGGGCACTAATGAGAAGATACACACAAAGTGCTGGGCTCCTGCCACTTACAAGGAGAAACCCATGGATTCTAGGAAGGAAGTTCTTTCATTTTCTTTATTTATGCTCCTCTCTTTAGCTGTGCTTTGAGAAACCTCCCACCCTTCATTTATCACCCTTCAGAAAATGAAAATGGGAAAGCACCTCTTAGGACACAGAGAATGCACTTATTCCAGTCCCATCCCTATCAGTCTGGAATTTTTGCACCCATCAGTGAATATTTTAAACCATTTAGTGAGAAATGTATCCTACCTCCTCTCTTTCTTGGTCAGATTGCCATCAAGTCCAGAAAAGAAGTAATGGAATAAAAGTCGACTCTTGGAAGGATCCACGGCATTTGCAGGGCTTATACCTTACCAACTCTGTCCCTTCTACATTCAGGATTCATGGACACTGATCCTTGGATGCTGCATAGAAGTCAGAAAGGACTGGTGGATTATCTAAATGTCTACTAATTTTTATAAGAAATACAGGAGTATGAAGCCTTAATAATGAACTCCCAAGGGTCAGAGAAACAAATATAAAGAAAATCAAAAGCATTTCTACTCCCAACTATCCACCTTCATACACCAGGGAACATAATACAGATGCTAATGATTTGGTTATTCCCTAGAGAGACCAAAAAATACTATCCCTCAAGCCTTAGTGTGTATCAGAAATACCAAAGGGCTTGTTAAAGCATAGATGTTTTGATTCTACTTAACAGATTCACATTTCCTACTTATGGTTATACTACACTGAATGGACTACATAGAAATTCCTCGGGCATGGTGCAGAATCACCCTCATCTAGATTCAAATTCTGTGAAAACTCAAGAGAGAAATTTTTGAAAAAGTTCTGCTTTTCACCTGTGTAAATCCAATATATTTACCACATACATCCTATAACCTTACAAGAAAAAGAAAACTAATGTACATAGCACAGAATGAGAATCATAGATCATGGTCACTATGTGTACTTATATTACTATCATTATAATTTAAGAAGAGTTCATCAACTGAGATATAATTTATTCTTTAGTTTTGTGTTTGGGGTGGGTAT